CAGTTCTGCCCAGAGGCATTTTGGCTGACTTAGGGTTGAAGTGCAGAATGCATGACGGCGCTATGGTTGATCTGCATTCTTGCCCATGAGTTGATTTTAGCTGCTGCCATATTGCAATGTGGTGTGGTGGGGGCATTTTGCATGTATGTGTGGTGTGGTGGGGGCGTTCTGTGTGTATGTGTGGTGTGGTGGGGGCGTTCTGCGTGTATGTGTGGTGTGGTGGGGGCGTTCTGCATGTATGTGTTGCACAGTGTTCCAGTCTAGTAAAAATATCTGTCTTCTTAAATATTTACTTATTTGTGATTTAAAAAACTTTCAAAATCACCTCTTCTAGCTTTTTGAGATGGATAGTTCATTGTTAACTATAGTCACCCTTTTTAACTACAGTCATAGATAGTCACCAGGATTTCTTGCTCCCCTTGGCCGGCTTTCCCCACCCTTCCTCCCCACTGTCCTAGGCCTTGGGTCACCACCGTTCTACTCTCAGCTCTGTGAGGTGATGCTGTGTGCGAGAGACTGGTTTTACTTTTTTTTCCCCATGAGATTCCACATACAATGTGGAACTTGTCTTTCTATAACTAACTTATGTAACCCCATGCTCTCCAGCTCCATCCATAGTATTGCACATACCACAGCTTCATTCTTCCCGTGGCTGAAGGTGTTTCATGATGTATGTGTGCCACGTTTTCATTATCTATTCGTTAGTAGTGAACCTGGCTGTTTCTTTTCTCCCTCCTTATGAATAACACAGTAAGCATGGGAGATGGTCCTTCAACATGCTGGCCTAGCTTCTTCACACACATAAAGACAACAGCGGGGTGTCTGGATCATACACTAATTTCGTTCTTACTTATTTCTCAGGATCTGAAATGTCGCTTCCATCTCTGTACTAACTTCACATACACACAGACCCACGCACGCACACACACGTGTATGCACACACACACACAAGCATGCTGCATGCACACTTTACAAGGAGTCCCATCTCTCCACCTCCTGCCAGCACTTAGCATCTTGGTCTTTTGGATGATTGTCATTCTTGTTTGATGGGAACTATCTCCTTGTGGCTTCAATTTACATTTTCCTGCAGTTTGGCGATGTTAATTTTTGAGTGGCCCGGTAGTCATCTGTCTTCTTTGGGGCGATGCCTCCCTTGGTCTGCTGCCCACTGTACAGCGGTGACTGGGCTCACTTGACTGAGTCTTTCGAGTCCCTTGTGCCTTCTGAGAGCCGACCCGTGTCATTTGCAAATGTCTTCTGTCCTGTCTATTGTCTCTTCACGCAGATCACCATCTACTCGGCTGAGAAGGAGGTTTGGAGGTTAGCATAGTCTGACTGGTTCTACTGTTGCTTCATGCATTTGGGGGAGTCTCCTGAAAACTTTGCCCTTTCTATAAAGGCTTTTCCCTGTTTTTCCTTCTGGATTTTACATTTATGTTTTCAATCTGTTTTGACTCTGACTCAATTTTTTATTGTTTTTGAGGGTCTCGTTGTGGTCTATGGTGGCCTCAAATTTATAATCCTCCTCCCTCCACCTCCTGAGGGAGCTGAGATAACAGGCTTGCCAGCTACTTTTAAAAGTATTTTTAAAATATTCTGAAAACACCCAGGAGTAAAGTAGGATTCCCCTGAGAAGGAACTTTAGATGGGCATCTCATAAGTCCAGTGTGTTTCAAATGGGCCCCTTCACATAGCAACTAGTGCCACCACCACCTGAGCCCCTCCTTGGGGTTCCATCTAGACCATCTCATCTACCCCTTCCCCTGCCCTACTTAAGAGTTATTGGGGATAAACCTCTTCCTTTCCCCTTCCGGATGAGTAAATGGAAACCCAGGTGTTGTGTCAGGTAAAAGTGCATGGTTGTTAAGTAGCAACCCTGAAATTCAGTTCCGAGCTCAATGGAGCGGATACTGGGTTCTAGCATCCGTGGAATGGATACTGGGTTCTAGCATCCAAAACAGAAGCTCTGAAACCCCCAAGACAGTAGAGAACGTCTCACCTAATCCCCAGAACTACTGGGTTAAGAAAAGACCCCCTCCAGTCTCATGGACAGATAAGATTTTAAATTATAAAATCAGTATCTGTTTTGGTTAAAATCTCTCTTGGCTGCTTTGGCGCTGAATGATCAGGATTTATCATGAGCAATGTAAAATAGAATTTACAGGGTTATTGTGACTAATCACATGTGGACTAATAAGCCCTAAAGAATGTAGTTCAGCCATTGCCATTTCCCAAGAGTTTCATCATCAAATCATGGGAAGAACCTGGCTCCCTCCTCAAGCCAACAGGACAGCCGCCACTGAGGCTGTGCAGAGGAGATGTTCTCTTTCCCATACCATCAGTGATGACACAGGGAGACCGAGCATGTTGGGCCACGGGCCACTTCTAATACCCACTAGGGAGAGGACACTCAGACACTGAGGCACGGCTCCAAAGGTCTGGCTCACATCCAGGCACTTTGGAATCTTGTGGTTCACCTCAAACTCCGGCAAGAGGGAGAAGTCCCAGCGTCTGATTTAGTTGCTCCCTCAAAAGTAAACCAGAATGAGTCATGTGGGAATGGAGAAGCCGCTCGTGCCAGATATCCATTTGAAGATCCTGATGAAGACCCGAAGCTGAAGACACGGGCCTCTGCACCCCTGGGTGGCCGCTGCTTCCACTGTAGTGAGCCAAGTGTGCACATGCGCATGCTCACAGGCAAGGAAGGAAGGAATACCTTGTATGCTCCGGCCTCCTCCTTGTTCAGTTCGCCAGCTACTGTTCAACATCATCCAAGAAGACTAGAAATGTGTACGATGGTGTGAGTGAAGGGTGAGCCTGGGTCTCTTTAATACTACGGAAATGCCTAAGTTTAGACTTGGGCCAGCCATGTGGATCAGCTGAGACTCGCCTAGCGTGCAGGACGCCCTGGGTTAAGTCACCAGCACTGCATAAACCAAGAGGGGTGGCAACTGTTTGTCACCACAGACTCAGGAGGATCATATGCTCAAGGTCATGTTTTACTGGGTCACGTGTTTTATGCTGCCTCAAAGGGAAGGGAAGGAGAGGGGAGGGGAAGGGGAGGGATGGCCAGGGGAAGGGAAGGGAGGAATGGGGAGGGAAAGGAAGGAAAGGAAAGGGAGTGGAGAGGAGAAGAAACGGAGGGAGAGGGAAGGGAAGGGAAGGGAAAGGAAGGGAAGGGAAGGGAAGGGAAGGGAAGGGAAGAGAAGGGAAGGGAAGGGAAGGGAAGGGAAGGGAAGGGAAGGGAAGGGAAGGGGATAGGAGAGGAATACAACAGGGGGCTTTTTTTTTTCACAGATACCAGCACTGGCAATATTATTTATTTTAAAATAATCTCTATATGTGATGAAGATTACATTCAAGTAGTAGAGAGAATACTATGGAAAAAAAAAAAAAAACCCTTCTCCTCCTCATTCCACCCCGTCCCTATTCTATCCAATTTTAAGCAGTTCCTGTTTTACTTCTTCTGCTGGTAGCAGCAAAATACTAAGTAATATGGCTTGACTCTTGACCTGTAACCTTCTCCAGCACCATGTCTGTGAGCACACTGCCATGCTCCCTGCCATGATGATAATGGACTGAACCTCTGAAACTATAAGCCACCACCTCAATTAAATGTTTTCCTTTATAAGCATGGCTGTGGTCATGGCGTCTCTTCAGAGCAGTAGAAACCCTACCTAAGACACACACTCTATGTGAACGTTGTCCTTGAAAGCCTTTTTTTTTATCTGGGAGGCCATCCAGAGCACACTGTTCTTGGGACTAGAGAGATAGCCCAGTTAGTAACATGCTTGCCCCAAAAGTGGGAGGACTTGCATTCAGATCCCTAGAACTCATATACAAAGACGGGCATGGTGCACAGGCTTCTAATCCCTGCAGTGGGTATGTGGTAGGGAGAGACAAGCAGGCCCTTGGGGTTCACTGGCCAGATGGCCGAGCCTACTTGATGAGGTCCCAAGCCAACGTGAGCCGCATCTTAAACAGGTGGAAGACGTTTGAGGATCCACACCCGCGGGTTGTCCTCTGACCTGTACGTGTGAAACAGAGTTCTTTCTACAACTTTCTGACTTTTTAAAGAGATTAAGGGCCAAGTGCTGAGGATGTAGCTCCCTTAATAAAGCGGCAATCCAGCATGCACGGATGTCTGCGTTTGATCTTCAGCAACACAAACAGGGAATATTCTGGACTCAGGAGGTGAAGGCAAGAGCATCAGAAGTTCAAGGTCATCGTCAGTTACGTAAAGGATGAGAGGCCACTGTGAGTTCTGTAAGACACAGTCTTCCCCACCACCACCACCACCAAAAGGGAAAGAAAGAAGAAACTGAGGACCAAAGAAAGGAGGCGTCACTCCCAGGATTCCCTCCCTAGCTGCTTCCATCTTGCCTGAGTTCCGACTCCCATATGTTTCCCTCCTCTCACAAGCATTGCGCCCTGAAAGACTGGTCTCCTTACCTCAGGTCCCATTCCTACGCATGACATAAATGTGAGGTAAAGGGCCTGTGGAGCCACACCGTCTTGTGGGGCTGATGGTCACAGTGACAGGATCCAGGCGCCTATGTTAGTAACAACCCAGGAGGCCCCTCGCTGGCTTATGACAATGTAGTTCTCCCTGGCCCTGTGTCTCCAAGCTGTTCTCACGGTGGCTATGTGAGTGATGGGAACTGTCTTGGACAAAGCTCTTTAACTGGAAGAAGTTACTTTAGGCCTATTGTAGCACAGAATAGGGCAAGGTGGTAATACAGAGAAAGTAGATGGAATCAAAGGGATGCCATGTAGCTGCTGGAAGAGACAGATGGGGGAACCTTGCTGGTAGGCCACAACCTTGTGGTGATGCACAGATTAATAGAAATGAATTAATTTAAGATGTAAGAGCTAGCTAGAAAAACGCTTAAGCTATTGGCCAAACAGTGATTTAATTGATAAAAATTTCTGTGTGGTTATTTCCAGTCTGGGCGGCTGGGAACGGAGGAGCAGCCTCTGCCTACAAACATTTCTTTTTATCAATGTTGGGGGGAAAAAAAAGAAAAAAATGTGAAAAAATGAGTGTGAACGCAGGTTCATTGAAAAGATGACTAAGACAGAGAAACTTGTAGTCAAAGAGTAAAGAGGGGCAGAGAGATGGCACAGCGCACAGCTGACATGGTACAGAGACATGGCACAGTGCATAGTTGTCACGTAGGAGAAAGTAACATCACTAGCTACTCTACAGCTAGGGCCAGTAAGATGGTTGGTTTTAACCTCGGTGGTTAAGGGCATCTGTCAGGAAGCCTGGTGACCTGAGTTCCATCCCAGGAACACACATGACGAAAGGAAAGAACTTCCACAAGTCGTCCTCTGACCTCCACATGCATGCTGTGACACACACAACACACAAACACACACACACACATGTGCAGTCACAAAAGATATAATTGAAAATACTAAAAAAGAGAGACTACTAACAAAATTATTATGTCAATAACTTTGAAAATTTCAGTTAGCAGGACGAATATTTTGATAAAACGTTATGGAAGAACAGACTGCAGAGCTGTTTGGATACAGAGTGTTTGCACAGGTTGTATGTTTGAACTCTTGGCCTCCAGGTGAACGTGCTGCAATTAGAATTTTGGAGACATACAGCTGACTATCAAGCAGACTGAGGACAGCCTTGGGGATTAGAGCCTACATCTGTGTATGGTCCTCTCTCAATGTTTCCTTATCCACTAAGATGTAAGAAGCGGTGTCACAAGCTCCTGACTCTATAGACTGAGCTGCCTGCTCACCATGTCATCCTTACCATGGTTGACTGTATCCCCTGAAACCATGAGCCCAACTAAAATCTTTCTTGTCTGAAGTTTTTTTTTTTTTTTTTTTTCCTGTCGGGCATTTGGTCACAGCACCAGGAAAAGCAACCAATAGAGCAGTCAATCCTGAGAGAAGCAGAGGTAGGAAAAATTGATGCTCTCAGGTCTCCAGGTGTGTCTCAGTCATGCTCCAGCTTGATCAGCTTCAGATGCCTCCATGTGCATCATGATGACATTTTAGTAGGTGGCCTGTGCACACTGGAATGGTTCCATGACATTGCATTGCCCGCTGGTATCATAGGCACTGTGGTTTCTGTCAGTATACTCTTCGGTGTTTGCGGAACAATGGGATTGCCTAACAATGCCCTTCTCTGATGTGTTCCTGTCATTCAGTGACAAGCAATTCCGCACCTTTTCTACCAAGGCTGTGTTGAAATGACACTCTGTCCCAAGCCATCCCAAGAGATTTGGTTTTGATAGGTGTACAACACCGACGCCGTTCATACCTGATGTTCACAAACAAATTTAATACAGTCATTTCCATTTTCAAAGGCAAATGACAGCAGCTATTTCTGCTTTTCCTTAAAGTGACAAGGCTGGTCAAAGAGGAAACTGCTGACCAATGATGCTGACCTGGTTTCCCAGCCTGGGGGCGGGAAGGAGGCAGACGTGGCTTCCCATGGCAAGGGAGTGACACAGATCCTTCAGCTTGGAAACAAAATCCACCTGAAAGCAAAATGTCCTCAATTTGGAAATTCTTTCTTGTTCCTCACATCTAAGTTGTTCACGTTGTTGGCCTTTCCCTTGGAGATGAGAAAACAATTATTGGTCTCTTCCCTATACACACCAACATTAAGGTATTGTTCAACCTTCTTTCTCTACTGGGCTATATGCTCCCATTGCTCCCATCTTCACCATAATCATGACGTCAGTTCTATCTGAATTTCAACCCTGCTTGCTGTCCCCAGGCTGGTCGATTCCCAATACAGGGAGAGGTAGCTGAGCCTTGCTTCTCTACATCCCCCAAATTCTGTTCGTCTCTTCTTTTTATTCTCAGCTCCCACCTCTGCTTTGTCACTCTGTCCCCTGTGCTCTGCTGCTTTGCTGAGTCCCACATACATTGGCTGACGAAGGCTCCCTCCTTCACTAGTGTATCTTCCTGAGGTCAAACCACGGCCAGAAAAATCTTCCTTCTCGTGTCTGAAACGCAGCTGCAGCTCTGTGGCCATACGCCCATTCTGCATGCCCTATCAGCTGATTCTTACCACCCCACCACCCCAGGCCTTGGTGCTTCTGATATGGGATTGAGGGAACCTTCACCCCCGTGAGTATAGAAATAAGGACAAACTACAAGTCTCAGATAAAAGTCAAGTCAGAAAGGAAAGGAAATTGATTGCAGAGAGCTAGGCTACCCACCAACAAAGAAAAATTAATAAGCATTGTTAATATCTGCTTCTTATTCTATCTGTATGTGCTTGAGTATGTATGTATAGACATGTGTATGTACGTGCGCGTGTGTGCACGTATGTGTGTGCATGTGTTATGTGCATGCGTGTGCATGTATGTGCATGTGTGTGTGTGTGTGTGCATGAGTGTGTGTGTGCATGTGCACACGATGGGCATGGAGGAGCCTCTGGAGGCCAGAAGAGGCGTTGAATACTCTGGAACTGAAGTTACATGTGGTTGTGACCTGGGTTCTTTACAAGAGCAGTAAATGCCCTCAATTGATGAGCCATCTCTTCAGGCCCCTAAACAATATTTTTAGCAGGTTGTTGGTGTGGCCTAGTGTGGCAAATTTTGTTAGTCAGAGAATAAAAATTTCAAAGAACTTATTTCCCTTTTCCTTTGAGATTGGCAGGCATTGTTTTTACCAGGTGACATGGTTTTCTCTTGTGATAAAGGGATAAGGTACAAGTACATTCTGTACCTAGTTGTGGTGGTTTGAAAAAATATGGCTCCCAAAGGGAGTAGAACTATTAGGAGATGTGGCCTTGTTGGAGTAGGTGTGGTCTTGTTGGAGGAAGGGTGTGTAATGATCTGTCCTGTCCCTTTAAGAGACAAGCCCTGCCCACTCCCCCCTTCCAAGGAGGTGAGAGGATCTTCCTTCCCCTTCCAGCCTGTGCTCCCTCTGCCCCATCTCTATTTGGAAGAGGTGGCTGCTGCCTCTGACCCACCCCCATTTCTCTCTCTGTTTCTCTCCCTCCCTCTCCCTTTTCCCCTTTCCTTCCATAACCCACTAAGTAAACTATACCCACTTTCTCTGCATGACATCTACCCGTCTCTCACCTGCTGTGGGTCATATTGACAGGTGGGGACCACAGTGGGTGAGAGAAAGACAGGTATATCATGCAGAGAGGCGAGTTTCTTTAGTGAGTTATGGAAGGGAAAGGGAAAATGGAAAGCGAAGAAGGGGGAAGAAGAGAGAGACGGGGTAGGGAAGAGAAGGGGGGGCAGAGAGAGGTTACTTCTTCAGGGAGAGAGATGGGAAGAGAGAGAGCACAGGCTGAAGAAAGCTTGTGGGGGAGTGGGCAGAGCTTATCTCTTAAAGGGACAGGACAGATCATTACAGTGTGTCACCATGTGAGATCTCTTTTCTCAAACTTCATTTAATGTGACAGTCAGTTGACTTCCTGTTGCCTGGAAGGTGCAGCACTCTCAGCTCCAGCACCGTGTCTGCCTGCATGCCACCATACTCCCATGCTCCCCTTCATGATCATAATAGACTGAAGCAAGCCACCCTCAATTAAATTCTTTATAAGAGTTGCTGTAGTCATGGTGTCTCTTCACAGCAATAATAATAATATAAAAAAACTAAGACACTTGTTCACAGGGAGAGGAGAAACCTTTGATGGGTAGCAGGATTTGTGGGGTAAAGACTGGAAAATCTGTTGCCACCTGTCCTCACAAGGGTTCCTGTGATGTTACTTTTGCACTGCTGTGACCACATATATGACAGGAGCAACTTGAAAGAAGTAAGATTTATTTTGGCTCATGGTTCAGGGGAGTTTCTGAAAGACCCTACAGCTAGCATGCTCCCGGGGGAACGTCCTGTTTGCTTAAAAAAAAAAAATATTCTCCGGATCAGCAGCCAGCCTGCTCTCATAAGAACATCCCATGTGCTTGAGAGAGCAGGATGTCTATGAGATAGGAAGACTGCAAGGCAGGATATCAATAAGATAGGACATCAACAAAGCAGGTTGACTGCAAAACAGGATATCTATAAGATAGGAACAGGATGACTTTTGCTGACACCCATGCTGGGAGAGGAAACCATTCATGCCCCTGCCTCATTCCGATAACCATGCTTTTGCTTCTGTAAACTTGCTTTTTGCTCTTCCCTATAAAAAGCCAGCCCTCCAGTCGGCAGGCAGGCAAAGTCCTCCGAAAGACTTTGCTGCCAGCAGGTACCTGTGTTTACCCAATAAACCTCTTGCGATTTGCATCCCTGTGGTCTCGGCCTGTTCCTTGGCGTTGGGGAGGTCTCCTCCCGAGAGAAGGACCTCTTTGAGAGTCTTTCATTTCAAGCCGGTCATGATGGGAAGGCATGGTGGCGGGTCAAGTCAGTCATGAGCAGGAAGGCATGGTGGTGATTCTTCATTCTGTGGTAACAAGAGCATGAGCTAACGTCACCAGAAAGCGGAGCAATCTAGACCAGAGTCAGGGGAAAGATCTGCTTCCTCTACAGCCTTCACAATACTGCTACAGCTGGGAGCCCAGCCCCCAGATGTGAGAGCCAAAGTTACATTTTAAGTTTTAATTACTATGCTAAGAGACCATGAAACAAAAATGTCTCTGCTGAGCAAGCCCCTTGCCCAAGGACAGCTAGTTCCTGAAATGCTGGAGGCTGTTGGTTATGGGAGATAACAAGCCACAGGTTTTCATTCCCCTAAACAAGTTTGTTTGACCCATCAGAACCATTCCGGGAGGTACAGGGCAGGAAATAGGATATGTTCTTGCCCCTGATTGAACCTGAAGAGAAATGCAATGAATTATGGGTTTTCCTTTTTAAACCCTTGCCATACCTGATTCTGGGCCATTTCCCAAGAACCTGGGTATGGACCTGGCCAGAGCCTCTCCACCTGACCTGTATTTAATTAAAGCTTGCCTCAAATTTGGCTTTACACTGTGGTAGAGGTCTTATCTCAATTGGCGGAACTAACACAGAACATGTGCCTTGAAGGGACATTGTAGATTCCCTCCACTACAGCCCCATTTCCCTTCACTTCCTGCGGCCCATCCAGCTGGCTGACTGCCAGACTTAACTCCGTGAATTTGCACACACGTTGTTCCACACTCTGGGCTCAAGCTTCCGTGTCCTTTCTCAGCTTGTCACAGGTCAGTCTCTTGATGTCCTCCAGGCCTGGCCTGCTGATCCATCCTTTATGATTCTCAGTCACAATGGACTCCTCTGCTCTGTAGTCACACGGTTCAGCTTTTGTTCTGACAGAGACCTTCTCAAGGCCCTCAGTGTAGGCCTCACAGAAGGACCTGCCCTCTTTACTAGAAAACAAGCTCCCTGTGAATGAAGCCAGGCCTCACACCTTCCAGGGAACTTCAGGTCTCTCTTGCTGCAGGGCATGCCTCGTGTTGAAACCTGTTACTACTGCTTGAAACAAGCTTGGGAAAATGCTTGCCTGAGGCTGTGCTATAAGCCTACAGCGGTTTCTGGTCAGGTGACTACTGTTCAGAAGATCCATGAGGTCAAGTGACTCAGCAAATATTTTCAGGAAATGAGAGCTTGGAAAACTAGTGTGCCTAAGAGCCCTGGAGTGGGAGGGAGCTGGGGAAGGTTCCTGGCCGTTCACAGCAAGAGGCTGCAGCCTGGCACTGCAGCCCAAGATGCCAATAAGGTCTGGACAGCGTTGTGCCTCCTCAAAAGAAATACATTTCAGCATTTTCCAAATGATTAAAACTTGGTCATCTAGGCAACCAAGTTAGAAGAAGTGAGAAACTGGTGATTCTCTCTCTCTCTCTCTCTCTCTCTCTCTCTCTCTCTCTCTCTCTCTCTCTCTCTCCCTCCTTCCCTCCCTCCCTCCCTCCCTTCCTTTCTTTCTCTTTCTTTTGGCATTTAAGGTCTCACATATCTGAAGCAAGCCTCAAGATCACTGTGCAGTGGACCATAAACTTGAACTTCTAATCCTCCTGCCTCTACCTCCTCAGTGCTAGAATTTTTATCCCACACAACCATACTCTGTTTATTCATTGCTGCGGATTGAACCCTGGCCTCTATGCTTGCTGTTTAAGCACTTTATTAAGTGAGCTCCTACCCAGCCCCAACAATCTTATTTTGGTCTACCAGTTTCCAAAAGGGATAACACAAGTGCTTCCATTTTCTTACGCTGTCATTAGTACCATGTGACTGACGTCTTGATAGATCTGGGCAAATGTCAGATGCTCTTATTGCTACTTCTGCAGAAGTACCTGTCCTGCTACTAAGGAGATATCAGCCAGTATATTTAAATAATAATTGATAAGTTTTGAATCCCTGGCTAATGGGACTCTGCCACTGTCAATGTAATAAACCAATCAAACCAAATTTATAAAGCTAGGTTTAATCTGAGAAAAGCACTCCTGGGTGACCCTCAGGAGGCTACAAGAGGTATCACATGGCTTCCAGGTCTTAAGTAGCCTATAGGTGTGATCTTGAGCAGCCCCAGTGAGGGGCTGACTTTTGGCGGGCTTTCTCAGGGGCAGAATTTGGAGAGGGCCGCTCCCAGGGAGATGCTGCTTGGGTTGCTGAGAGTGGGGTCTGGACTGGGGTTCTGAGCTGGAGATTCCAAACAATAATAATTTCAATGCTAATAATAGCTAACATTTATGAGCATTTTCTAAATGCCCAATTCACCCAAGGCTCTACACACTATTTCATCCTGAGAAACAGGTGTAATCATCCCCATTTCCATTTGTGAAAACTGAGGAGCAGGGACATTAACTCATTCAATGATGCACAGAGTAAAAGAATAGGCATGAGCCTTAACCTGGCTATTGGGTCCCAAAGCCTCAGAGTCTGGTCTGAGCTATCCTAAGACACAGCAAGGAACTGAACGCAGACTTTTCCTGAGTTTAGTAGTAGGAAATGCCTCAGGTTCAGATGGTTGGCTATGCCATCCTGAAAGCTGGAGGGCATTCTGCCAGACACCTGGTTTCTATAGGCCCCATTATTCCTGTAGTCGATTTTTCAATGGGACCGTTGGCTCCCAAATAATGACACTGAGACTTGATATGATTCTGTGAGAGAGGGACCTTGACAGGTCCAGGGCCACGGGGCAGGTGAGAGACAGATGGGGGTGAGGGACAGACACGCCATGCAGATGGACCTTCGTGGGAAGTTTTATTAAGACATAGGGAATGGAAAAAGGGGGGAGGGGAGGGAAGACACCAGCCTCTGGGGACAGGAATGGAGGAAGAGGAGAGAGAGATACAGAGAGAGAACAAAAGAGGAAGAAGAGGTAGAAGTAGGTGGAGTTTCACCATTTAAAGGGACAGGATACTGCCTGCTCTGTATGCAGGTGTGACTCAGGGGCGCTGCACTCTGTAAGGTCCCCAAGGGGCAGGGCCAAGTATGCCAGGATGCTAACAAGACTTATTATTATTATCAAAGGTTGACCAATAACTTAGGCTTGTTTCTAACTAGCTCTTATAACTTAACCCATATGTTTACTCTTCCTTCTCTTTCATGGCTCTGTTCCCTGACTTTGTAATGCCCATGCTTCTGGTGTCTCCTCGCATCTCTGTAAATTCTGCCTCCTACTTCCTCTCTCTGCCTGGAAGTCCCACCTATACCTCCTGCCTAGCTGTTCAGCGTTTTATTATACCAATCACAGAAATACACCTTCACACAGCGTCCAAACATCCCACAACATTCCTCTGCCAGGACCTTTCTTAGCTGCTAAGGAAAAGAACCCATGACCCAAACAAGTCAAACTGGTGAGTCAAGGCCTTCCTCTGCAGGCTCAGTACAGACATGGGACCCCTGAGGCAACCTGTGATGCATTTGCCCGGTAAGCCATTCTGTCCAACAGTAATAAGGGCGAGAAACTTCTGTGAATAAAAATGAAGTCTAGCAGAACATGGTAGCCCGTGCTTTTAATCACAGCACTTGGAAAATAGTGTTCGGAGGATCATGAGTTCAAAGACACACGGCTATTTCCAGACCAACTCACTGTGTTACATAGTGAGTCCTAATTTCCAAATTTTAGAAATATCTTTTTAGGGGCTAGAGAAGTGGCTCAGTCATTAAGAGCATTGACGACTCTTCCAGAGGACCCAGGTTCGATTTTCAGCACCCGCATAGCAGCTCACAACTACTTGTAACTGGGACTCATAGTTCCCAGGCCTCCCACATTCTCTTCTGGCCTCTATGGTTACCAGGCAGGCACATGGTGCACATATCCATGCAAGCAAAACACCCAGACACATAAAGATAAATCTCCTAAAATACGTATCTTTTAAAATGAAGTTCTTTGTATTCAAAACAGAAGCATGGCTGCATGGACTTACTATCTTCTAAACTATGTGTGTATGGGAAGGCCTGTAGAACTTACTGCTTGGATTAGAAAAGCTAAAAGAAACCATCTCATGCATTGTTTGGCCTCACATCTCAGCTGAGGGAACTGTGACTCCACCATCTCAGTGTGGATGCAGGTCTGAGAAGGGGCGAAGCTCAGATTGCAGTCATGGCCCAATGTTTACCTAGAGAAGACACCACGAGACGGGAACACCTCACCGAGACCTGAGCTAGCTGCCATCACGTCTCTAGTTTATATCAGTGGGGGTCTGGTACTTTTGTTCAACCAGTATCCGAGGCCATAATCCATCCAGCCCAAATGACCGCTCCATTTTCTGGCCTGAGGAGAGTATATATAGGCCTGGGACTGACTGGCTTGCTCCTCTGGAAACTTCCCAGGCCAGGGAGGCTGAGGTCAACAGCAGTCTAACCCCGGGATTGGCAGCCATTGGGTTTGGAGGAGGAGGTTTCCACACAGAACTAAGAGCTGCTTTGAGAGGTCAAGGTGCATTTCCAAGGAAAAGCAATCACTGTCTTTCTGCCTTGCTTCTTGCGTCTGCACAAGCCTGGCTGATCTCTTGGCAAGGAGACTCGGTGCTTTAGGGGAAAGTAGGCCACAGAGGAAAGCCGGTATCACACTGATGGAAAGCCAATCACACTGATGGAAAAGCCAATCACACTGATGGAAAGCCGATCACACTGATGGAAAGCCAATCACACTGATGGGCCCAGGACTGCTTGCTCTTTCTCTCTCCTGACGTCTGTGGATGAATTCTCTTCTACCCCCTCTGCAGCCAGCAGGAGCTAGGTACACCAGTCTCCCCAAAGGGCTCCCCCAGTTCCAAACCAGTGAGCAGGCATTTGGTAGAATCTCTCTTCACCGAATTAGAAGACTACTTTAGGAATTAAAATCTGGATCGTTTGGGGCAGCCAGAAAACAAAAGATGACTAACTTGCTTTCCTTGGCTAAAAAACAAAAAGTTCTGTGAAAACCGTAAAGGTGTTTTTAAAGGGCACAGGGACTCACATTTCCGTCCGTCTGTTGTTTTGTTCTTTTTTCTTCTTAAATTTCATATAACTATTCGGATGGAAGACTATCTATTAAGGCAGAAAGGTCAAAATACTTCTCTTCCACAAAACCAAAACCCAGCCCAGGCTGTTTACTTTCACAGACACTCACGGCCGTGCTGTGGAGGGCCACGGTCCCCTTGCTTAGGTGTTCAACAGCTGCCTCGGCTTCTTTGTCAGGGTGCTCGCCTTTGGAGATCAGCCACCACGTTGTGTTTAAGCCATGGAGATGCCAACTTTCTCAACAGTAAAGGCTCCCTCCACCAGGCAGCACCAGCTTGCCGCCATCTCAAAGACCGCTCTTGGAAGTGAGTCCGTCAGCCCCATGCCAGACTCCAGATAGTTTACCGCTCCAGCCAACATGTGACTATGACCCCATGGGAAGATCTTCCAGCCAAAGACTGCTCTCAGAGTCCTGACTCATAGAAACCAAGGAGATAATGAGCAGCTAGTGTAGTTCTGAGCCACTAGGTTTGGGATTAATTTGTTAGGCAGCCTGTGGTCCTTGGGTCTGTCCCTGCGTGGGTAAGGAGTGGCTACAACGGTGCCTAAGTTTCACCACTTAGATAAACAATATATGGCGTTGGGGCAGAATTCAACCGGTATTATAATAGGGCATCAAGATGCTAGACTCTTCTAAACCCATATCCGGATGTGGGATGATACAGCTCAGAGCAACAGCACTGACTACAATCGTAGACTCTCCTCAAGCAAGGGCAGGACCCACTCTATGTTTTTTAGATGAGCTGTGTATCTTTAGCACCATCTAGTTCACTCAGGAAAGCCCACGGCAGCAGCCCTCCTGCTGATTCCAAAGCCACCGATTTCATCGGTGCCAACCAGCAAAGGCTCTGCTGTTGCTAGAAACAGTGTGCATGGAAAAGTCTAGAAGAGGCATGGAGTGTGAGCTTCCTAGAACATTGTCTTTCTGCCCGAGGGCGTGAAATCCTACTGAAGACGCGCGATTGTGCCTGGGATATAATGCAGTGGACAAAATGCATATGAGGTCACGCCCCCTGGGGGAAGGATGAATTACAGACGTCCAAACACCCAAATTGTCTCTCTCGTTTCACCTTCGTTGCTACTTCCTCTTCCAAGCTCCACCAAGCCTCACTATTAACTTTCACTTCTGAGGACCTTCACCCACTCAGAGAGATGGGCTTCCTTTCTGACACCGCCTCCAGCTGAGCTGTAAATACCTTGCGGCTCTCAGACCAGCGGCATCTTAATGAGAATAAAAGCCAGACCTGTTAGGGACCTCGATGCTCTAAATGCTCACTGTGTGCAGGCCTCCTACTTGGTCCTCTCCTTGCATCCATTCATGGCATTTAATTCCTCCAGCACCTCTGGGAAATAATTGTCAGTTTCCTAGTGGGAGAAGCTGAGAGACGCCTCTCAAGTCCCACAGCTTTTACCAGAAAGAACCTCTCGAACGGATGAAAAGGCACAGAGCCAAGTCTTCCACGGTGATAGGCTCAGAAGGCTGCGAGAGGCTAAGAGGGATAAAAGGAGCTCCCATACAAGTCTGGACAGTTTCTTCAAAGGGGCACCCATGAAGAATGGAAGAGACTTGACTTCATGGAAAAGAGTCATATGATTAGATTAATGCAACGCACAGAAGGGGATGAAGAGCAAATAAAAATGTTACCGCATCTAATATCACAATAAAGGAAAGAGCCTGTGGTTTAGGTGATTACGGGATGTTAACTAACACTAATGATACATCACCATTGCTTTTCAGTACCCGTACTCACAGAAATACCTACTTCGTTTGGATTCTTGCCTCATTTCCTCCTTTATGCTAAGTGATGCCTTTTATATTTGTTGATGCTGGCCCGGACTTCCCTCTCAGCATCCTGCCTGTCTTCCCCAATTTTCTCATTCATATATTGGTAAATCACGTGCTTGAGGGTATTTTACTTAATGTCCTAGAACAGACCAGGGGAAAGTCCCCTCACTTTCTAAGAACATTATTCTCTACGTGAAGGCCCCGTAGAAGGATGATTGGTTCCTCATTGAGTTCCGGCTTTGCCTCACGCCCATTCTCATAGGTTGTGGTCAGGAAGTGTGGACATGTGACGTGTTCGTTGCTCAGCATACATGCACTCTTCTGTAAACCAGGAATTGACTCCATTCTGGCAGGAAGGGGCGCCTTTCTCTCAATGTCAATCCTAGGGCTCCGGAGTGCTCTCTTGCCCCTGGCCTGGCCAGTCAAGGTCATGGTAATGATTCACTTTAACCTGCTATGTAACTGCCGGGGAACCTTTCTTCCATTCTTTGCTAACAAATCTGGAAGGAGATGAGCTTGGGAGTCAAAGCATTCCTCTCTGCTACCACTTCAGTGGTGGTCCCTCCTACAGCTGGTGTTTCTGCTCAGGCTGGTCAGAGCTTTACCCCGCCCCCACCCCATCCCACCCCTCCTCAAAATTTGTTTTTTAGTATTACTTACTATTGTTATTTGGCTACACGTCTCCCCCGGATTCAAGACTAGGCAGTTGGACAAAAAGAAGCTCTTTCCTCCAAGCTGTGAAGGTCGGTTAAGACTCCATGTAGGTTACTCACAGGGGTATATACGGAGAACCCCAGAATGTACTCTCCCTTCTAACACTTGTGACAACTATGTTGGATCAGGGTCTTGTTAACCATGTGACCATCCCTGGACAGTTAGGGGACAATTCTTCTTCTAGTGACTCTTTGCAGGATATGTCTACTGGTTGGGGTCCAGCTCTTGGGGTCACCACCGCCTCTCTAATCAAGAAGATAGTAGCTTACCGGAGATGTGGGGCTCTTTTAGTCAAGTCCTCTAAATCCCTGATGACTTTGGAGGCCAAAGACCAAAATAGTAAAAGTCATTTTGGTTCTCTTTCATCCTCTTGGGGCCTCCAGGCTTTAGTTGCTGAACACCCAGAAGAACTTTTCCCTCCCTTATAAAAGAAATAATGAGGGCTAGAGAGATGGCTCAAGGTTAAGAGCACTGATTGCTCTTCCAGAGGACCTGAATTCAATTCCCAGCACCCACTTGGCAGCTTACAGCTGCCTCTAATTCCAGTTTTAGTGGATTCAACACCCCCACACAGATGTATATACAGGCAAAACAGCAACGAAAGTAAAATAAAAATAAATTTAAAAAAATAACTTTTAAGAGAAAAGAAATAATGAATTTTAGTTTGAACTTTTGAGTGAGCACAAAGCTTAGACTAATCAAGTTTAAAAATAAGTCCCCTATTCTGTTATGACTCAGCTCTTTAAACAGTTAAAAGTTAGCAAACACAGCACAAAACATAATTATCTTGATAAAACACAAACTCTGTTTTCTAGGGTAGTTTATGTAAATGTTATCAAGAATAGATGATTACCTTAAGCAGATCACTGTTTTGAACAGAATTTTCACCATAGGAAGTTAAGGAGTTTTAATCATACAGTTTATCTTTCACAAGACTCCTGTGACCAACCCAGAACTTTTGTGATGCTCATGGTTTTTTTTTTGCTTTGGAAAAATTTAGTCAATTTACCTTAGGCCAGAGTCTTACTTTAGTTTACAAAAATACTTTCATATTAAAGCATCTTACTTATATGCTTTTTATATCTCTTCTACTCATTGGCTACATGTAACATGTTTTTTAGCATTGTGAGACAAAGTAGTATAACAAATAAACCTACCAACTCAGTAAGAGAATTGAATGTAAATTATATTCATGGAATTTATGACATAACAGCCTAAGCTTACCTATCATACTGTTAAAATATAAATAAAATTTTTTTCGCTATTTTGTAGGTCTTAGGAGGAGTTTTTGTGACTTTTTAAAAATCACAAAAACTTTTTGTAAATCCTTTCCTGGTCTTAAAAGAACCTGAGAATTACTTTTCAGTAAGATCTTGCCCAAATAAGAAAAGTTTCAAATTAAATGACCAACAAAATTATCTTCATTAGAAAACGCAGGAGAAAAAAATTACAACAACAAAAGTCTTTATTTGTTAATTCTGTAATTGCAGTTTGGAATACAAAAGCATTTGTCCCAGGCTGGTGAGGTGTCCTATGCTGATGACAAGGCCCAGGCTGGTGACATGGTCCAGGCTCTTGACATGGCCTAGCAGGTCAGAGTGCTTGTCATACAAATCTGACGACCTGAGATCAAGCTCTGGCTCCCTCAGGACAGCTCAAGCTGGATGTCACTCCCTAACGCATGGCTCTGGAAACGCATTCTTATGTCCCAATACTTGCCAACATAATATGAGAGAATTCTCCTGTTTTACCAAGAATTCTTTCATTCTCGTAAATGCTTATTTAGTGTGTATGGTGTATGCATTTGTGTGCAGTGTCTGTGTGTGTGAGCATGTGCAGGACAGTATCAGGAAATGCACACACCATGGGTGTGCGCAGAAATTTCCTAAGGTTCCTTTTGGAGTTGTGCCCTTTCGTAAACCCCAAAGCGAGGTGAGTGTGAATAAAGTGGAGTGTGGCCACTGGATAAAGGTTGCACACTCATGAGAAGGAGGGCATAGCTCAGTGCCCGTAGGTGACAACTGCCACAAAGAAATTTGGATCCAAGATGTCCGGACATAGTGATTCATTGGAGGCCACTGACTTTGATTTTGTTCAGATACAAGATCCACCATTCCGAAAACACAGACTACAAAGTAGTTGTACGCATAGGTGTCTTAGTTAGGGTTTCTGTTGCTGCGAAGAGACATTATGACCACAGCGACTCTTACAAAGGAAAGAATTTAATTGGGGTGGCTTACAGCTTCAGAGGTTTAGTCCGTATCATCATGGTGAGACAAGAGCAGAAGGCAGGCAGGCATGATGCTGGAGGTGGAACTGAGAGTTCTACATCTTGATCCATAGGCAGCAGAAGCAACTGTGTACCACGGCACACAGTGTAGCGCGAGCATAGGAGATGTCAAAGCCCACCCCACAGCGGCACACTTTCTCCAACAAGGCCACACCTACTCCAACAAAGCCACACCTCCTAGTAATGCCACTCCTTATGAGCTTCTGGGGGCCAGTTACATTCAGACTACCACAATAGGATAGGACACATCTTTCCTTTGTGACTGCATATGTCCTGTGTTGCAGAGTGGGGACTGAGAGAGAGGCTAGACACTGAAAGCTACTTGACTGGTCAGGAAATGACAGAGCTGGAACCACTGAGTTCAACTACAGTTCGTCATTCTTTGCTGGGTTTGGTCTCCGATGTTCTAGGCAGGGTTTCACTCTGGACTTCCCTATCTACAAAGAAAAGGAGAAAAAGTAACCTGTTTTAAGGACTGGAAGCATAGCTCAGAGGAAGAACAATTGTCTAATGT